AAAAAAAATCTGAAAAAAAAAAATCTGAAAAAAAAAAAATCTGAAAGAAAAAAATATGTTATGTAGAATAACAATGCAAACCACTTTTGCCTCAGAGTCATGTCAGAATTTTTAACCAAACTTGAGTTAAAAGTCAAAAACTATAAAAAGCTTAAAAAAGACTTTTAAAAACTAATAAAAGGTAATGAATTATTTAATAATTAAAAAATTGGGGTTGTCTAATAAATTACTATAGAGAGAGAGCATGTCCGGACCCCCCAAAAAAGCATAAACGAGCCTGAAAGGCTCCTCAATGGGGCAGGGTCCTAAACCGTTGTTTGTTTTTTTTTTTTCCCTCGAAATTTGCCAGATCCGGACCTTCCAGACCGGACGTCTGGATTCCGAACTGAATCCAGACCGTCCGGACGGCGGTCCGGACGTCCGGATCGTAGCCATGTTTTTTTCGTTTTTGTGTTTTTACTCGATCAATCAATCAATCAATCAATCAATCAATCAATCGAATTGATTGATTAGACTGGATCTTAATTCTCATTCAATGAAGATCCAATCGAATCAATCGATTCAATTGGATTGATTGATTGATTGATTGATTGATTGATTGATTGCCGAGGAGGAGGAGGGGAACATGGATGAGGAGGACGAGGAGGAAGAAGAAGTACAAGACGAGGACGAGGATGACGAGGAAGAGGGGGAAGAGAAGGAGGAGGAGGAGGAGGAGGAGGAGGAAGAAGAGTAGGAGGAGGCTGACGAGGAGGAAGAGGAGGAGGAGGACGACGAGTCAAACGGTATATGGGCGAAAGACTAATGGAACCGTCTAGTAGCTGGGTCCCTCTGAAGTTTCCCTCAGGAGAGCTGGATCTGTTGAGCAGTTATATCGGGTAAAGCGAATGATTTGTGGACTCGGCGGTGAAACACGCTCCACATGTTCCAGAACTTTAAATAGGTAAGATTTCGGGGTTGCTTAAGCGAATCTCGAGGATCAATGAAAGCTCCAGGTGGGCCGTTTCTGGTAAGCAAAACCGGTGATGCGGGATGACCTGAAAGTTCGAGCTACGCTGCGAAACTGCGCGAACCCAGACGCCACAAAGGGTGTTCTGTCTCGCCCGTGCCCCGGCCCCCTTTCTCTCTTTTTTTTTTTTTTTTCCCCAATCAATCAATCCAATCCAATCGATTGATTTGATTGGATCTTGATTGAATTAATATCAAGATCCAATCAAATCAATTGATTCAATTGGAATGATTGATTGATTGAACGGAAAAAAAAAAAAAAACATGGTTGGGGGAAGGGGTTGCTTAAGCGAACCTCGAGGATCAATGAAGCTCCAGGTGGGCCATTTCTGGTAATCCGAATTGGCGACGAGGGATGAACCGAAAGTCAAGCTATGCTGCCAAACTTCGCGCTAACCCAGACACCGCAACGGGTGCTGATTGATACGAACAGCAGGACCGTGGTCATGGAAGCCGAAATCCGAGAACAAGGAGGAGCAGTAGGAGACGAGGAGGAGGAGGAGGAGGAGGAGGAGGAGGAGCAGGAGAACAAGGTGGAGGAGGAGGAAGACGAGCAAAAGGAGGAGGCGGAGGAGTAGGAGACGAGGAGGAGGGGGAGGAGGGGGAGGAGGAGGAGCTGGAGAACAGGGTGGAGGAGGAGGAGAAGGAGGGAGAGGAGGAGGAAGAGTAAGAGACGAGGAGGAGGAGGAGGAGGAGGAGGAGGAGGAGGAGGAGCGGGAGAACAAGGTGGAGGAGGAGGAGGGAGAGGAGGAGGAAGACCAGCAGGAGGAGAAGGCAGAGGAGCTGGAGAACAAGTAGGAGGAGGAGAGGAGGAAGACGAGGAGGAGGAGGGAGAGGAGGAGGAGGAGGAAGACGAGGAGGAGGAGGAGGAGGAGGAAGACGAGGAGGAGGAGGAGGAGGAGGAAGACGAGGAGGAATAGGAGGAATAGGAGAAGAGGAGGGGGACACCGATAAGTTGGAGGACGGGGGACAGGAGGACGAGGAGGAGGAGGGGGACAGCAGCGACGGTTTCGACGCGGACGTCGACCCACCCCCTGCATTTTTATGTTTTTTCAATCAATCAATCAATCAATCAATCAATCGACCGATCGATGAATCACTCCATCAATCAATCAATCAAATCGGTTGATTACATTGGATCTTGATTGAATGAAAATCAAAATCCAATCGAAGCAATCGATTTGATTGGAATGATTGATTGATTGGTTGATTGATTGATTGATTGATTGATTGATTGTCGAGGAAGAGGGGAACGAGGAGGAGGGGGTTGGGAAAAAATGATATTTGCTAAAACGCCACCATTTTTTTACCTTGGGTACCCTATACCCAGCGCAAATGAACCCCGACAAAAAAAAATCCGTTTTTTCTAGGCCATTTTCCAGTTTGACTGAAATTCCAGATAAATCGAACACCGGATATACCAGTGAGGTTATCCGGTCGGGGCTGCCGTGCTACTCTATATATATATCGTCACAAGGATATCCGAGCGCAAAAGCGAAAAAAAAAAAAAAAACAGAAAGAAAACAAGAAAAAATTAATTCATTTTTTATCTTCTTCCTTACAACTCCCCCTGTTCAGAACCTCTTGCGTACAAGGCTGCCCACGTGGATGTAGGTTGAGCGCCGACTGCCCCCACCCCCGTGTGTAATATCATATATATATATATCGTATATATATCGTCACAAACAGAATTGCCCGGTAAACCGTAGGCAGAGAGAGAGAAGAGGACAACAAACGAGGGCCTGTGACAAATTGTTTTGTCGGAGTTTCACCGACTCATCAGGAGGCTGAACCCTCAACAGTCTGCAGAATCCCCCCACTGATTACACTGTAAATGATAATCTACCTTAACCA